CTGGGTGTCGTAAACAGTGGCGTTCGTGCATCTTCTCAATTTCTTTCCAACCTTAGACCACTGAACTTCTCCATTTTCTGTTCAACTCCACTTTCAACTTTCCTTTCTTCTCCTATTATTCATCCCAATGGGTGGCCAAAAGACAGCAACCAAAACCGGTGCACGAAAGTGCATGGTTTATGGTTGTTCAAACTGAAAACTGAAACTAAACGACGCTTGCACCTTGGAAATACGAGCGGTTATCTCCTTTGGTGCGCTATCGTCGTTAGGCCCGCAACTATCCAAGTACGAGAAGCAATCAAATTGGGGTAGCTTCTGATTATCTATATCTTTTTTTCAGTTTAAGATGCCCGAGTATCAATTTAAGACGTTATGTTGCTATGTGGATAGTACCTTGCACAGCACAGAGTGAAAACATAGCAACATGACATCTTAAATGGGATTTCGGACATCTTAAACTGGAAAAGATATAGATTCAGAACAGGACTCAGCGACACGCAGTCTTACAGTATAACTTTGAAGGTATAAAACGCATACCAACCGGAGCAACAAAACTTGCTGTTCGGTCCGGGGTGCTTCGCGCTTCCTTCAAACATTCAAACAGGCAGACGACGCCATCAGCACATCCGAAGTTGTGCAGCTTTTCTCCGACTATCCATTCAATGCCAACACTTTGAAGAACACTTGGTGCGTTCTCCAGCATTTCTTTTAGGACGAAATTGAACAGAAATGGCGAAAAAGTACACCCTTTAGGAAAATCGATTGAATTCGTTCACAGTAAACTGGTAACAGCTTATGAGGTTATCACGCTCAAAAAGTATAGATTGATGCATTCAGAATCCAAGCTACGTAATCCAATTTACATCTCCGTGAAAGGGCGTATCATCCGATTTTGGTTTACTAACTAATGCGTCCGTGTCTGATCAAGTAGGTTTTTGTACTACTTTAAGCACCAAAATCGACTGTTCCTTAGGATCGAATCTCGATAGACAATCGACCATGCGCATTGAGACTCCGAGGATCATGTAAAGTCAGTAAGCAGAGATCCAACGGTGCTTGTATAGGGTAGCTTGATGGACGGGGAATCAATAGTAACCTGTTTAAACTTTTCAAATAATTATTGATTAAGATGTTTCTTTTTCTGTGAAAATATCATAAACTACCTTAACTTCTGTCATGATGTGCACTACCCCTTCTTAATAGAACTCAACTACAGACAAACCGGTTTGTCTTCGATCGACTGAAATCGTCACGTTCGCAGAAAAAAAGGCTTTTCACCCGAGAGATGAGAAAACTGCTAAGTCCTTCGCCATCTTTATCTAGGAAAAAATATTCTACCTTAATAAGCTTTTTGTCAATACAAGGGTGGTTGACAAGTTTTGTCGTCAGTTATCGAGAGGACGGAAGTTATTCTGAGAAAGGTCATCGTAGTCTACTGCTGCCTATTGTGACATCGATGAGCTGCGGTTTCCGATTTCCGTGCCAACCATGGTCCCATAGACCGAATCTTCACTCTGCGTCAGTTGGTGGACACTGTTACGTGTATTGACGGCAAATCAATGTCGTGTTTTCTTTTCGACATCAGAGCGGTTTAAAAATCCCTGGATCGGTCTGTTTATTGAAATACAGAGTACTAGAAAGGTTTGTCCTAACCTATCAATCACCGTGGTTCCAGAAGGGTTATATAGCTGTGACCACCTGTCACCCCTATTTTCTCATCAGTAGTCGGATACGACAGGATCTCCCAGCCTCTTGATTTCTCCCCAGCTTCGCGGTGGATGAAAAAAGTGATGAACTATGACAATAAACAATTTCCGGGGAGAGTCGTAGTTTTGCAATATGTCGATTATATTGCCTGACTCATTTCTTTTCATTCTTACTTCCTTTTTTATTGAATGCGCAATGATACAAAGATTTTCAGGAAGAGGGAAGTGGCCAATCAGAGGGCTGCCATACAATACACAC